CTGCCAGTTTTATCCAACATCCTCCGGATTATTGTGTTGATTTTCTCTAGGATGTTCTACCAATTTCCACCGGAAATTTCTTTCATCCTTCCCTAGAAATTTTTTCTGTCGGAATGTTTCCCCCAACTTCTTCTAGAACCTTCTATTGACTGTCCTGACCTCTGGCTTCCAACTTTCTGCAGAATTTTCTTCCAAACTACCTTAGGAAGCTTCTTCCCTCTTCTCCAGAAAGATCTTTTAAACTTCTACAGGAAGTACCTATCGAATTCTTCCAGAAGTTTGTTTAGTCTTCATTTGGAAGTTTCTCCACAAGTTTCTTCTGGAGGTTTTTTTCCAACATATACAGGAAGGTTTTTCTAAACTTCTTCTGACTTCCCCTCTGGAAACGGCTTCTCCTAGAATTCCGCATCCTCTGGACGTGTCATCCAAATTTTCCGAAAGTTTGTCCAAATATTCTACAGACGTTTCCCTTTCTTGTAAGTCCCCCGGATGTTTTCCGGCTTTTCCTAGAATTTCTTCAAACTTCCTCCAAAAGAGCTTCTGGAAGTTTTGTTAAGCTTCCTTCAGAAGATAGTTCAAACATTACCCGGAAATTCTTTTCAACTTCTACCGGAAGCAAATTTTCCGTTCATAGTCTTAAAGTTTAAATTTTTACCTTGAAAAACGGCAAAAGTGTGAAATTTATTTAAATAGTAAACCTTTGATACCTTTAAAAATCTGACAACGCTGCTCTGCGGAGAATACCAATGGAATTTAACTAGAAATTTCAGGTATTTTTTTTTTTGATTTACGGTTAGCGACTTTGCAGTCAATTTAATTGTTTATAGAAAAGTTTGAACATACTGAGAGGTAAGCTCATATCATCGGTAAGAGACGTGTGTGTGAGAAAATTTGCGAAAAAATCTAAGGGCACCGGTGGGATTCGAACCCACAATTCCCATTCAGTACACGGGTGCATTGCCAATTATACAACGGTGGACCTATGGTCTACGGATGTATTTGGCTAATGACATTTGAGTTTCGAATCCGTTCTCCACCCTGGTCTTTTTGCGCAAGCGTTCTCTGATACACAATTCACATTCACATTTCTCTGATACACATTCAGGTAATATTTAGAAAAATTACATGAACAAAGTGAATTAATCCTACCGAAGACTTGACTACATAACTTCACACTAAGCTTATTTCACAGATTTCTGTGAAATTTTCCCGAAATTTGAACAGCTGAACGTTTGCTAAACAGTTCGGTGATTTTTCACAGCTACTGATATTCTGTGAAAAATTACAGGAAATCTGTGAAAAATCACCAAACTGATTACCAAACGTTCAGCTGTTGAGATTTCAGTAAAATATCACATAAATCTGTGAAATAATCTTAGTGCATACAATTCAGAAGCTAATGATCACCTACGGCTGAAAATCTATTAAATATTGATCAACCAATCAATCAATCAAAGAGAAATCTAATTCTTAAAATAGCTCAAAAAATTCTATGCAGAATCTCATGTTAGTTTGAAGATAAATTCAAGAGAATTTATAAGAATTTTGAGGGAATTTAAAGACGTTTCCGCAAGTATTTGGCAAGAAATATTAAATATATTCACAAGGAAACTATGAGTAGTGCTCCAATAGAATCAGAAGAAATTTCCAAGGAAATACTAAGGAGAGTTCTTCTAAGGGTCATTTTGAGAAAAAATCTGAAGTGAAAGTCAACAAAATTTTGAAATAATGCATTTTAAATTCTCAATGGCATACCAAGAGATTAGGTATTATGCCCGTTAAACAAGGTGGCTGGTTCGATTCCCGGTCCGGTTGAGGGAATATTTCGGGTTGAACATTTTCTTGACTTCCCTGGGCATAGAGTATCATTGTGCTTGCCACACAATATACAAATTCATGCATTGGTATTGGCATCGAAAGCTCAAGTCGCATAGGAGTACTGAGCGAAAACCCAAAACTTGATAATTTCAAAAATATATAACTCAACAACGAAAAATAGCCACTAATTGTTTGATATTTTGCATAAAAATAAATAAAAAATCAAGGAAAATATGAAAACGTATTGCCCCTCTGTCTACAAACCATGAAACTATTGAAAAACAAATAAAATCAATCTTTTTCAATAGAAAATACCAATTTTTAAATAAAATTATATTTTTTCTAAAAATTATTTTTAATAACCTTTCATTTGATTTTATGATCTTTGAAATCAACCCAGTAGTTCAAAAGATATGAAGTTTTGAAAAATATAATTTAAAAAACGATTTTTTGGACCGCCCATATGATCACCTTAATGACAAAATAAAAAAAACATGGGTCCAATATTATGCAATAAGGAACAAAACTACCAATTTTTGTGAAATTCTGAGATCCACAATATTGTTTTGCTATGGAATGACTGATGTCTATACCATTCCGTTTGGGCTATCATAATACATAAGCTTCCGAACGGCTTGGAGAACCAAAAAAAAATACCCGTTGGGAGCATATTGTAAGTAAAGGTCTATTGGTTTTCCTAGGAAATTTTGCGGAGGATCTTAAGCAAGGCACCGTTTTCAGCTGACTTTCAGCCACTTTAGTCGGAGGTTAAACCATGGTGGGTTGCTAGGTGTGGATGGAGTTGATGGAAGCTAGGTTAAAACCACCGATAACAAAGATCTTGTCATTTGCCCTAATCTTGGATACGACCCAAAGAACCGCTAAGGCAGTCCAGCAACCCACAAATTAATAAATTAAGACCACTTTTGACGGTAGGATAACAGTCTACCATAACTTGTGTGTTAAGTTTAAATCCTGTTCAAATTATTTGCTCCCCTTAAATCGTCAATCAACAAGTACCAATGCTTCCCGTAGCCATCGTTAAGGAAAATAACATTGTAGTTCCAAATATCAGTCAAGGTATTTGTGAACCAGATCTCCCTGCGACAAAGATCAATTAACGTTCTTAGGGCGGAGCTCAGTTCATGTACCTACCTCCACACATTACCAAACCAATATCCTTCTAATTAACTAAACACAGTTATTACCAACCTATGACAGCAGACATTACACCCGAGTAACCGTGTGATTACAAGACCTACAATTCCGATGCCAAGCGACAACGAACCAATCAGTTACACCTCATTAATAAGCTAATCGTGACAAAACACTACCCAACACAGCCCGTTTCTTTTTCCGACCAACTAACAAACCTGGCATTCAATCCAAACATCTACAACTGCTCAAAATGCAAAACAAGTGTTTTACTACCTGTTTGCAGCCGCAACGGCAGTCATCGTCATCCTGTCCATTTTCGATGCGATTACGAAACCTCCGTTAAGCAGCGTCTACCACTACTGCCGTCTACCAGCTTTGCATATCAAGTGGCAACGGTGGAGACTTTAGTAGGTGCATTGTATTTAATTGCTGCAGCTGGTGCTGCGCAGAGTGATTCCTCTCTGACGAGTGATGGATGTAACGGTACTGGAATTTGCATAAATTAGCCAAGACCAAGACGACGACGACGACGACGAACACGCGGATCCATCATTAATCTCACTCGATGCAATCTCGTAAATCGTTTGAACTTTTGAACTTTGCAATTAACGAGCAGTTCCTGCTTTTATGGATTACGATTGCGGACGACCAAAGAGTCATAAAAAACCAACTGTGCCTTCCGTAATTAACCTTCAATTGTGATACCTCCGTGGACAGCGCAGTGCGCATCCGGTAGTCCATTGGTCGTTCAACGCCTAATCCATGGAGAAGGAAGACCAAAAGTCAGCCCCAAGACGATTAATGACCCTGCACTTTGTCTGTCCATTATACAACTCTCTTGCACTTATCGACACTGCACTTCTTTGCCTTTCTTCAACCATGCGAAATGTGAAAGCATGAATCACTCTGAAACACCTTGTTTTTTTCTTCTTCTGTTGAACAATGTGTGATATTTATGGCGAACCGGTGAACGCGACCATCAATAGCATCATGCATAGGTCGGTGTGAAAGGGAAAGTGTTGTGGTCAAAGCATAAGCGCAGGACCATGGGCATGCATGGTTATATCAGATACCACACGGGTTATGTAAAACTGACCCGGGTCTGGTGGGTCGATATGGCCACAACTATTCATGGGCCATGATCAAGCATCAGGTTTAAGGTTAGTTGCCCTCGAAAGGACGCCGGTAGCAGAGGTGATGCAAGCGCAGTCTTGGATTCATGTAATGTCTCACAAGCCTAGGTTTGTACTATGTGTAAGTCCCCTTCATGCCGAATTACTATAAATCAGACTAAACGAGGAACAAGGAAATCGAACCACTTCAGCAAGGACGCCTTGTGAGCACTTTTTACGAAGCGCACATTCACCCGCTACCTGTGCGGACTACCGGGTGTTGAGCCCAACCCGCAAATGCCTTAACCAATTAAACAACGTCATCACGCCAACACTTAACCCAAGCCGGCTTCGAAAGAATGCAACAAGAATCTTTCGAAACCACTCAACAACCCTTGCTGTGCTCGCTGTGGTAGTTGTTGACGGCACCAGAACATGCACGATCGCATGTCGTCGTCGTCATCGCTGATTCAAAGGGTGCGCGCATGCATTTGCACAACTCCCGATCACCCTCTCTCTTTCTCCCTCTATCTATGCGACGACAACGGCAAACAGCCATTTGTTTTTCTTTTGTCCACACACCAACTCAAACCATGATTTACCACTTACGAATCTTTAAATTTATGGGAAATCTCGTCATTGTCGTCGAAATGAATGTCGTTACTACTTCTTTTGCTGATGCTTCGATTAATCATCCCATAGTGCCGATGCAATATTTATCTCTGCCCGGCAAACCGGTCGTCGACGTTTCTAAACCCGACATGACAGCTAATCCGCGTGCGGCGAACGCACGCCTGTCAATCTTGCGTGATTTGCGTTGGACCTTGAACTGAAAACTGAAATTGCCTCTCCATCGCAGCCTCTATCGCAACGTCTAAACAACATGTTTTTCCTATCTTTTCCCACCCACAGACATCGAGAGCGATCCAAACCGCGCACCGCCCTGCGACCCGGCCGTGTGCGTGCTGCCCGATTGCTTCTGCTCCGAGGACGGTACCACCATTCCTGGGGACCTGCCGTCCAAGGACGTCCCGATGATGATCACCATCACCTTCGACGATGCCATCAACAACAACAACATCGACCTGTACAAGGAGATCTTCAACGGCAAGCGCAAGAACCCGAACGGGTGCGACATCAAGGCGACGTACTTCGTCTCCCACAAATACACCAACTACTCGGCCGTGGCGGAAACCCACCGCAAGGGACACGAAATCGCCGTGCACTCGATCACGTAAGTGTTGAATCGATTAGATTTCCCCGACAGGTCAGAAAGTCAGAATTTGACGTAAATATTGTGCGTGTGAACATAGATCTGCAGCATACAGCTATGTGCAGAAATTCTATCGAATGCTGCGCAGGGCTGGCAAATGTCATTTTCAATGCAAGAATTCAAAAATATTTCTGTCACTCTGAATTAATTCACAGGTGACAGGCAATATTCGTCAGCATTTCCATTCCTTGTAATGTCATGACAGCAAATGATTGACTGTGGTTAAATGATTTCAATTGACTTTCAGTAAATATGACTACCGTATAAATTATATAAATGAAAATATCTCAATTCTGGGAAGTATATTGCAACAAAAAATTGATAATTTATCTTCCCATTGGTGGGAACCTAATAAAAACTGAACGGAGCATTTGAACAATGAAAATTTCAATTTAAGTTATCTCTATTAAAGAGAATTTCAGCCATATGTTGGTTCATCTCTTGATGAATGTTGGGGACTCCTGAAGGGGGCCCCCTAGTGACAGAGTCCAATGCAATTTGAATGACAATGTACCCAACATATAATTTGAGCTGCTTAAAGGCTGATTAATCATTTTTTAAAGCTGAAGAAGCATATGTTTGCCTGAATAGTCTCTTATTATGTGTCCAATATTTGTTGGGTAGCTTCTATGTGCAGTGCTCGACCGTTGAATTGCATAGGCTGGGAATTCTTGGAAAGCCGAATTTCTTTCTCCTTAAGAAGACCCTTGCTAGTACCGAAACGTGAAGAACGAACTGATTTGGGTTAACATTAATTCATAACCGAAAACTTTTAGTGCTCATGTCCCAACCGTCAGAATCACTTAACTTTTCTAGCTTTGATGCTTCCAACAATCAACCAATGATATAATTACCAAAAACGGAACGTGCGGTACGAGATGTCCACCTTTCATCCATTTATTTGGGTGCTGAAGCATCGTATTTGAATCTTCGATTTAAACAGGTCCGATGATTTTTTAATCATCTTGCCCCTTAAATGCTGCACAGTAGGCCTGACCATTGTGGAAATAAACAAGAAAAATGATGGAGGCATATCATTTTCCAGGATGCTTTCAAGAACTGGCTGTGTTGGTGTTAGATTAGATTATGATTAGGTTAGATATGAATTCATTGCCGAAAACTTTGAGCAGAAATATCAAACAAACTGTAACAAATCCCTGCTCAGCGGCAAACAAAGACCAGTGGGACAAAAATGATAGCTTCAAAACGAAATTCGAAACATTTTAAACAACGGTTAACAAACATATTAAGCTCCATTTAGAGACATTCTGTAAACTTACAAAGTAAAAAAAAATTAAGCATTCCATAAATTTGCTCTCAGGAAATCTCTCTTAATCAGGATGACTAGTAAACCAGGAAATTGGGAAATCCGGGAAAATATTGGAAATCCAAAATCACAGAAAATAAACCGTGTATTTCGATTACAAATCGTCCTCTCCCCGGGAAAAAGAAAAGATTCAGGTCGTTGGGATGATTCAAAGGCCCGTGGAATGGACGGGACTTGATTTTCAGAATTTTTTCATGCTTCTTCAAGCATTTAAATGCTTTTCTATAGGGATAGCACTGTGACATTTCAAGATTAACGACAAAAGAGTTTTGCCTAGATATTTCAGAGCAAATTTTAATGAATATTATTTATAATAAGTAAGCTAATATAGGTTAGATTTTTTTTTATATCTTTATTAAGGAGACTTTCAGCTATATAGGTTATAGAGTTCTGATGAGGGCTCCAATGAAACTCAAATAAAAACTTAAGCCTATTGAATTCGGTGAGTAGCACCTTCATAATTCTTGGGCAAATTCCAAGAAAATTGAGAGGATAATTCCAATTGGATATCATAGACGATTTCAAAGTAATTTGGAGAATCCGAGGGAATCAAATAATGAGGATATAATTCTAAAGAAATTCAGAGAAGAGTTTCAAGGGAATTCCAAGGATAATAAGAAGAGTATTCAGAGCAAAATTTCTTGATAATTCCGATGAGAATTTCAAGATAATGTTCAGAAAAATTCAGAGGAGATATCCAAGATAATTCTGGGCAGAATATCAATACATTCAGAGCTGAATTGCATGAGAATACTAAGAAGAATTTTGAAAGTAAGGTCGAGGCTTAGGCGAATTCTTGGGAGAATCATTAAAACATCTAAAAGAAACATAGAGTGAATTAAATGAAAGTTTGTGCACTGTTCCACAGAGAATTTTTGGACAGCTAATTAAAAAAAATTAGGAAAGAATAACAGAGAGAATCTTATGTTTAGGGAGATGAACCAGCCTTAAGCTGAAAGTTTCGATAATAAAGCAATAATTTAAAAAATCTCATGTTTAGATTAGGGGAATTCTAAAAAAAATATCTATGAAGAGCAATGGTTCTAAAGATAATTTTGAGAACGCTACAAAACATCAAGACTTCTGAGTAGATTATCAAGATAGTTAAATATAGACAAATGTGGAAGGTTTCGGAATCTGCTCCACCAACTCGTGGTACTTTCTTGATCTTGGCCGAGTGCGTTGACTGAACATTGCGACCCAACACAATCTCAACAATCCGCTGAAGTTTTAAGACTTTATCTGAAACACTAAGGAATTTAAAAATCTTTAAAGCTTTTTGTCAGACAGAAGTTCCTACAAACTATCAGACGTTATTCTAATCTCACAGCCAGGGTTAGCATGCTCATTTGCTTACACCTATAGCTTTTAATAACTTTTCACTCAGTTCATATAACTAGGTTTTATTTTAAACAATTGATAGAGTGAGATCTGAGTTTATTGTAGACACGCAAAAAATTGACAAATATAAACATTTGATTTCACACCACTGAGTTTTTTCATTTAAAGTATGATATGAGCAGCGAATATTTTTTTAAACGTTTTTGTGACGCATAAATTAGAACAGTTTTTTTTTTCCTAAATAGAAATCTACAGTGTTTAACGTACGTTTATAAAGCTCAAGTTCTTTTCTATCAGTTGCTTCAAGAAAAAACGTGTTTCGTAAAGTGAGTCACTAAAAACTGAGTAATTTTTGCGATAAATTTAGCAAGCCAACCCTGCTCACAGCTAACTCTCTGAATTTCGTAGTAACTCTCTGATATGCTGAAAAAACTTCAGCAATATTAGATGATATGGGAAACCTCAGAGAAGGCCAGCAGAAGCGTAGAAAAGTTCAACAAAACCTTCAGAAATAGTCAGCGATCTTCAGAAAAGCTCAGGAAACATCAAGCGTAATCAAAATAACCTCAAAACTACTCAGGAAACCTCATAAAAAATCGTAAAACCTCAAAGATGTTGAGTTGAATTTCTGTGATTACTAATGAAACAACAAAAAAGCCCAGGAGAAATTAAATGTAAATCGGAGAAATTTAAAGAACTTCAAAAAAGGTCAAAGTACTTCGGAGAAGTTTACCGGACTTCAAAGTAGTTAAGTCTACGTCAAACATGTTCTGAAGAACTCCAGAGAAGTTAAAAATTCTCCCGAAAAATTCCATGAACCTTCGTCTACTTATCGAATATTATAGAAGCTGTGGTAACATTTGGGTAGTCTGTAGAACTTCAAAAAATATAAGGGGAACTTTAAAGAAGTAAAAAAACTAATAGAAAATCAGGGTCCTTCAGAAAATTTCACATAAATTCAGGGGTATGTCGGAGATGTTAGGTGAGTTTCTGAGAAACTCAGAAGGCTTTTCAAAGCCAAAGGGGATTTCAAAAATGTTCATCAAGAATCAATTTAAGGGAACCTCAGAAAGACTTAAGGCATTATCCTCAGAGAATCTCAAATGAACATAGGAAAAGTTAAGTGAACTTCAGGGAAATTTCATGATCTTGACTGAAATTAAGGGAACATTAGAGTAGTTTTGGGAACCAAAAAAAAACTTGGAGGACCTCAGATAGATTCAGGAGAACTTCAAAGAAGCCCATCGATACCTTAGAGTTGATTAGAACATATTTGATGAAAATCATGGTACTGCCGAACCTTTAGAATAAAAACAAGATACTGCGGGGAAGATTAGCAAACTTCAGACAACCTCGAAAATCTACACGAGCCTAAAGATGTTCAGAAATACTTCAGAATCCTTACGACCATCAGTGATGGAAAAGCTCGCGAATACTCACTACGACGCGCAAACTTTTCTTTGTGCGAACTTCGTAAAATTTTCCGAACTATTCCAAAGTTGCTTAGGGCAAAGCCGTACAGAAAGTCCAGGAAACCTAAGTGGAACCCAAGTGGTCATAAGAGAAGTTAATATATAATCAACTTCATAGCGATTCAGCGATCTTCAGAAAAGTTTAGCGATCATTAAAGTTGCTCAAGGAACTTCAGAGTTGTCTAGGAAAGCTCAAAAAAACTTAAGGTACCACAAAGAGCTCAGTAAGGTTGGAAAACTTCTCGACTTCGTATCGACTTCGATTCTCTTCATCGACTTTCTCTTTCGTTAATAATTCAGCGGCAAAACCTTTCCCTGTTGTATTTGACGTTTTGGACGCTAGATAAGAACCTCCTTTATCAAACTATGTGGTAGAATTAGCGCAAAATCTATTTGCATAGCAGTGGTTATGGAAAGAGAAAGTCGATGAAGAGAATCGATCAAAGCAGAAAGGACCATTTGAAATGTTCATCGAGAATTGTACTTGCCACGCAATATATACTAAATATACTAGTACAAAAATGGTACAGGCTTAGACAGCACTCAATAACTGTGGTAGGGCTCAAAGAACACTAAGTTGAAAGCCAAAAGAACTATTGTGTTGAACAGGATTCTAATAAAACTGTGTGACCAGTAATCTCCGGGAGTCGATCGCTGTAGTGGGTTTGGTTGCTAAAGATGCATTTGTAGATCTCCTAATCGTTAGTGTTGAACATTCGGGTTTCTTCCACCCGATTAAAGCTTTTTCTCTATAATGCGGCATCCGTTTTGCAAAAACACTGCGTAGTTGTCGAGAACGTCCGCAATACATTACTGAGGGCATGGATGAAGTTCTGTGCTCTTGACAATTTCAGCAACGTGACGATCCATTTCCCTTCTCGGTTTCAATGAGCTGATCGTCCACCGCCTCCTTTTGGGTACGAAGAGAACACTCACTGCACTCGTTAGTCGTAATTTTTGTATTCTAAGTTGTCCCTTGGAACAGTGAAACCACTGCGCTCGAAAGCTAGTTCTTCCCGTAGTCGCAATAGATGTTTGTTGCTTGCCCTGGAGCGTTTCCTCTGTTGACATGTTTAACTTATTTACCTTACCTTTCACGAAAGGAAAGGTTGTCATTTTTTTAGAAGTTGTCTTCATTCCACTCCGTCACTGTCATAATACGCCTATGAAATTCTCTGCTGGTGTCATTATCGGCGGTCACCAGTGCACCGGAAATGACACAAAACACACGAGCTCAGCTCAACATTCTCTTCTTCCATAACAAGACCAATCCGCTTGTGAACCCTTCATTCGGTACTGCTATTGTCTCAAAGTTACATGCCATGATGTCTATGTCATCGGCGAAGCCAAGAAGCTATTCGGACTCCATGAAGATAGTAACACTTTTGTCTATCTCACCTCCTATGATCATAACTTTCAATGCGATGTTAAACAGAAGACACAAAAGCTCGTCACCTAGCCGTTAGTCGGTTCGAAATTCGAAGGGACTCGAGAATATTCCCAAAAATAACTCGATCCATCGTAGCCTTAATTGCCAATCGCATTAGTTTATCCGGAAATCCGTATTCAGGCATAATCTGCTTAGCTGGTCTAGAACTATTGTGATGCATAAATATACTGATTTAGAATCGACCAGAGCGTAAAATTATTGACTGCCTAGGCTAAGTGTGAAAGCACTGTACTATTCAATTGCTCTGTGCAGACCGTTTGTACCAAACGGTAAAGGACGAGCCAATGAAAGAGCCAACAAAAACATTCAGTCACTCACGAGCAGGCGACGCACACCGCATGCCTTCGCTCACACAGCATGTAATTGAGTCATTTTTTCCATAGCAAATGTACGCTCAGTCATTCAAAACAAATATTGGGTACCATCACGGCAGAATAAACGTGTTGACTGAGCTACTGACTGAGTGCTCGGCTGTCAGTGACTCGTTTACCTCTCAACCATTCAGACTCTCACGAGGCAGTGAATGATGAGGCAGAGGCAGTTCATATTCATATCAAAATGACTCAATGAATCTGACTGTTTTGCGCACTGGAATCGACAAACAAATTATGTGTGTCCACTTTGTATTCGCATTGTATTTCTACAAAATATGCAAAATCGCGAAAATTTGGACCGTGGTCCTGGGATTACCCCACAAACTATCGTTATTTTTTTTTTTTTTGGGTAAAACAACCACTAAAGAGAAAAATCCACTAAAACTGTCAATATTGATGTAGCCCTAGATATGCAAACTGCTCGAAAATCTTGTCAAATAAGACATTTGATTTTTATTTCGACCATGATGAAATCAAAACTTTACTGTACAAATACTTGCTACATGGAGATGCCAAATGTAAGATAATTAAACATATTCTGCATTAGAGAGGGTCTAGCATAAAAAATAAGTGGATTGAAAACAAACTGCCGTGACAACCTATGCCTAGTCAGTTTCTAGCAACACTGCCAATGTAATCAAGGCAGACGCTGCTCAATTGGCTCTGGTTTTGACAGTTCATTTGGCGCAAAACCAGCCAGTCCGCTCTCATCTTATACCTTATGCCTCTCTATTCTGGATCATTAAAGCACTCTCAAGATTGTCTTAATCTTTAAATATTGTCAGTTAAAAAAAACCTGAATGTATCCACCATGGTGCGCTCTTTCAAATTTGAAACATCGCATCATGAGATTTTACTCAAATCAGATTCTGGTTACTTCACCGAGGGCACCCGGAGCATGTCCAGATTTGACCAATGTGGTCCAGGCCACTCACTATGACTACAATTGATATAATTATCGAATTCCCATGTGATTTGAAGTGTCGCATGATGAAAATTGTCATGGACATGGAACATGTCCAAGTGTGACTAATGTGGTCCTGGGAACTCAGTGTGACTGCCATTGATCTGGTTATCGAATTATCATGTGATTTGATGTTTCAGGTTGTTTTTAGTCTCAAGATCCATGCTCACTGGAACCCGTTTGGGTCATGTCTCCGGAACCAGTTGACCAGTTCCCAATAATATTCAATAGCCATAGACCATAGTATATTTTGTTTGGCGTTTGGCTGCCAATTCAGTGCAGTGATTGCCGAAATACTGAGCCTGTCCCCCGGGACACCCACAACATGTCCAGATGTGGCCAATATGGTCCAGAGCACTCGTTATAACAACCATTGATCTTGTTTTCGAATTCTCATGTGATTCGCATGATCGATTTGGCGCATTTCAGGTCGGTTATTGTTTCATAACCCGTATTCACCGGGATATGTTCCGGCCGTATCTCCGGAATCAGCTAACCGATGAGGCCAAAATATATTTTATTTGGTGCTTGTTGTGCCAATGTTACAAGTTTTTGTCAAACTGGCCACTCCTTCGTGGGTACCCGGAACACGTTCGGATGTGGCCAGTGAAATTCTGAGTAGTCGTTTGAACTACTATTGATCTTGTTTTCTTGAATTCTCATGTGACTTAAGGTGTCCCATAATGAGTATAGCGCGTTACAGGTTGGATTAAGTCTCATGGTCCATACAAACCGGAACATGTTCCGACCATATCTCCGGAACCAGTTGACAAATTCAAGAAATGTGGGACCATAGTACCTTTCATTTGGTGTTTGTTGCGAACAATTCCATTAAATGATTGCCGAGAAATATGAGTCCAGATTTTTTGTTTCACACGCACACTTTCATACACACACAGACACACACACAGACATTTTCCGATCTCGTCGAGCTGAGTCGAACGGCATATGACACTTGGGTCTTGGGGCCTTGAAACGAAAGTCAGTTTTCCAAGCGGTATGTATACTAGGGTGGGTCGAATTTGTATGGTATAGCGGATCACAACCACCTGTTCCCCTTTGCTCTCTCGATCTGTATTGAGGTCCCCAATAACTATGCCAACTTTGAACAAATTGCAAAAATTGCTATAGTTTGATCAAACCTGATACTTAGATTGGGAAAACTATGCAGAACATCTTTTTCCAAGACCGCAAATCGATTCGACTTCTGTGCAAAAAGTTATTATTTTAATACGTATACCTACAAGCTTACATATATGCCTCTAGGCATGCTTGGACCACTTGGCCCAAATAAAAGGGTAATAACTTTTTGCACAGAATTAGAATCAATTTACAAAGTTGTTCTGCACAGAGTTAATTCCCAATCTATTTTCCAGGTTTGGTAAAAATTGAGCAATTTTTCAATATTTGTAAAGCCACTGAACAGTTTTCTTCCGTTTTCCAAACATTTTTCCATACGAACTTTAAAATTTTCCACAAATACAGATCGTAATCAAATTAGTTCAAATTTGACACAGTTGTTGGCGACCTCAATAAAGATCGAAAGCGCAGTGGGGATAAGAGGGTTGTTAAGTTGACCCACCCTAAATGTATACCCTTCTCTGTGAGAAGTGTAAAAAATGACCATAACTGGTACACTTCCCCTACCCCCTACTGCATTGGAAATGACAAATTTTGCAAGCCTTCGCGACCCATTCAAAAACTAAACCCTTTGGACATAAAATGAGAAACGCTGCATCACAAAATTTCCAAACCTTACAATTTTTGTTCTTTTCATTTTAGCAAGTCCACGTAAGTATTACATCCCAGACAACCAGAAGTTATACAACAGTACACAGATAGAATCGTAAAATGCTACAGATTAAGTCAAAATCATTGCATGATGTTTAGGTTTAATCATATATAATACAACTTTCCGACTTTTATACGCTTTATCATTTTTGTATTGTACAATAGTATAAATTAAATCGGATAAAATCTTAATGTTTGTCGATCTGAATTTGTTTTTTACAGATTAAATCGTATATGATGTCAAATGAAATCGTTTATAATGGTAATTCAAATTTGCACGTAGATGGCTTCCACTTTTGTACGTATTAGCCATTTTTGTGCATTATATACGATTTGTTTGTCGGTATACATGTCCGTATATCACAGAAACAACTTTGATATACATGCATTCTGGTTGTCTGGGTAATTTGTATAATTTGACTGAAACTGAAATGAAAAAGTCCCAAACCTTGAACAGTTGATTCACTTTTGCGGGAATGAAATTTCATAATAATCAAAAAAAATTCTCATACTGACTATCTATTCTGCATGAAAGGGATCATGTTGCCGAAAAAATATAAATCATATCACTCCTCCCTTTTCCTCTCTCGCCTACAGCCACAACGATGACGAACGCTTCTGGTCCAACGCCACCGTCGACGACTGGGCCAAGGAAATGGCCGGTATGCGTATCATCATCGAAAAGTTCGCCAACCTGACAGACAACTCCGTGGTCGGAGTCCGTGCCCCATACCTGCGTGTCGGTGGTAACAACCAGTTCACCATGATGGAAGAGCAAGCCTTCCTGTACGATTCCACCATCACTGCTCCGCTGTCCAACCCACCGCTATGGCCATACACCATGTACTTCCGCATGCCCCATCGTTGCCACGGTAATCTGCAGAGCTGCCCAACCCGTTCCCACGCCGTCTGGGAAATGGTCATGAATGAACTGGATCGCCGAGAGGACCCCAGCATCGACGAATACCTGCCCGGATGCGCTATGGTTGACTCTTGCTCCAACATCCTGACCGGAGATCAGTTCTACAACTTCCTGAATCACAACTTTGATCGTCACTACGAACAGAACCGCGCTCCACTGGGACTGTACTTCCACGCTGCCTGGTTGAAAAACAACCCCGAATTCCTGGATGCCTTCGTGTACTGGATCGATGAAGTTCTGTCCAACCACAACGATGTGTACTTTGTCACCATGACCCAAGTCATCCAGTGGATCCAGAACCCACGTACAGTCTCCGAAGTCAAGAACTTCGAACCATGGAGGGAGAAATGCTCCGTTGAAGGCAAACCAGCCTGTTGGGTGCCAAGCTCTTGCAAACTGACCTCCAAGGAAGTTCCCGGAGAAACCATCAATCTGCAAACTTGCGTGCGCTGCCCCAACAACTACCCATGGTTGAACGATCCAACTGGTGATGGTTTCTTCTAAATCCAGTCATTGAACTTCCTTAGAAAATTTCTAGCTCACCTTTTATGATCATTCTGCTTTGAACTATTAACTGTGTTTAAAAACAACAACAAGTATATACACTATCGTCTAGCCCCTCGTATGCCCCAATACTATGAAGATCAACTCTTTTCTCTTGAATGAAACAAAAAAAGACTTGAAGAACTGCAACCTCCTCGGACCATCGGAAGGCGGTTCGAAACATGTTCGAACATATGTCAAATGAAATGAATGAATCGCGCGATAAACCAACATCATCATCATTGAATGACAAAGCTATGGCCAATGGCGTGCCGTCGTGGGAAACCCCCTCTCAAATCAATCTCTCGGAACAGCAACATCCATACATCTCCGGTATCTCATGACAAAGGAACGCCAACCAAACGAAACGAGATTGAGAGAACAAAAACATGCTGTGGATATTTTTGTGTCGTTTTAATTTAATTTAATTATGAAAAACAAAAAAGACAAAAACGCAATCCTTATGTAATTGAATGAAATGAAATGTTTATATTTTTTAAACGTAATTATGTTTTGAAACGACATTTTAATTTTAATTACTGCCTTTTTCTCCTCCCAACTATACATTTTTATTAATTTGTGTAAAATGTAAATACTGTTCAACTGCGTAGTTTTAAGTGATCTACTTGATAATACAAATGGCGAAAGACAACAATAAAACACTTTTTATTAGCACCTTGACTATGAATGATAGGGTAGTGATTCAAAATGTGTTTTTCAGACAGACAGCTGAACTACTATCTACTGCCAACCATTTTTTTAAATGATTTCTTCGGAACCAGGTTCTACAAAAAGTACGAACAATCATACAAAAAAACCCAATCTCAAAACGAGAACTTTTGACGGTATGAAGTTAGGAAAAAAAAACAAAATTACTTAAATGTTTTGAAAAAAGTTTGACGACAGATGTGAACGTTTTGTCCTTTCCGAAAAGGACTTTTACTCATCGTAATAAGTAATAAATTAAAATTGAATAAAAATTAAGACTCAATCTATTTACTACTTCGAAATACAATCACCCTTCCCTTTCACCGAATTGGCTCGAGCACCCTAACGCGCGCGCACACACACACATACCGCAACCCCTTGATGTTTCTATTTATTTTTCCTATTACATACCTTCAGCCTGCAACGCACCCAACTAGACCTCCCCCGGCCGCGGCAGAGTGGGAGAGATGCAAAAAAAGTGTTTAGTAATTTTCTTTCTTTGCTAATGTAATCGAACCTCCAAGGTGATCCAGTCGACTCCGAAGGCACAGAGTTGTTCACTCTCGCCGGCTGCGCAATCTCTTTCCAGTCTCAGCCAACCAGTCTTTCTGAGGTGCATATGCTAGGGAGCAGGGAATCAAAGCAGAGAGAGATCAACCAACAATATGGACAAAATGCTTGCGAATACTACCACAATAAACTCTTTCAGCAATAACTATAGCTTGATCGGAACGGTGCACGTAGGGGTATTTGATAAATCTAGCTGGTCAAAATTATGTTTACGTTGTAACCAGGGTTACTTCCACTCACTTACTATAAAAAAATGTTGTTTGGAATTATGCAATCATTAGATGTTATAATGATATGTTGTACATGTAAATTACAAGAAGAGATCATGCAGTATATGTATGACACATAAAATCTGTCAATATTGCTTTAAGTGCGTCACAATCAGCGATTTTACGACTCGTGAGCGCTCACTCTGAGTGAACGCTCACGAATCATAAGATCGCAGATTGTGACGCTCTGAAAGCGAAATTGACAGGTTTTATAAATCAAACACATACTTTACACCCTCTTCTGGTTACTTACATGTACAACATATCATTATAACATCTAATGATTGCATAGTTCCGAAAAATATTTTTTTATGGCAAGTGAGTGGAAGCAACCCTGGTTGTAACTATTTCAGATGTCATTTTAATACCTCCATAACGGTACTGTGACCATATACATGGAATATTTTCAGACTAAAACCAATTACCAGTACCGTACATGGGTGTAATTTTGGATAATTAGATCATCTACTTTACCGCGGAGTGGGCACTTTTTCACCCATTAATGGGTACTTTCAAGTTACAGTGTACACGAAACGAAGATTAATTATTTTATTGATATGTTTCAATTATACAGTTTTGCCAAAACATTAGCCTTATACATTCCATAAGACAAACCACATAGCTCCTATAAGAATGCATAAACGGTATGTGTGACCATTCATACATTTCATTTGACAAGTTGACTCATACATTTTATGAATAATCAGCAATAGAAATTTGTCAAAAATTTGCTAAAAAACACGTTTTGTCACTTCTTAAACGGTGCTATGACCATAGGCATGCTATATTTTAAGATTTAAACCAGCTAACAGTACCGTAAATGGGTGTAAACTTGGTTTACTAGGATAACTGTTCATCACTTTTCCCCTTTTTTGACACACTAAACAATAATGTAAAAACTCCTACCGAACATATTTTGACAACTTCATAATGGTACTAAGACCATGTCATATTTTCAGACTAAAAACCAACTACCAGTACCGTGCATAGGTGTAACTTTGGATATTGAGGGTAGCTTTTCACCACTTTTTCTCCCTTTTGTTACACCGGAAATAAATCCTCAAACTGCTACACTGAGGCAAAAGAACGTGAGAATTCCACTAGAACCACTTATGAATTTTAGCCACAAGAAATCGTTAGAATTTGCCTCATGAAAAATAATGTCGACAAAAAAATAATAACACGGAGCAGACTGGGACCGAACCATGGACGTCGAGATAATATATATAAGAACGTTTGATCATACACTCAAAAAATTCTACACGTCATCATCATGTGTCTCTCACTTAATTTTGTGCTTATTGTGAAACAAATCCATTTCATGTGTGAATCTTATGCTATGAATCATGCCTGAACACTATGGATTTGAATTGTGACACACTTGGTTTCTATGTGCCTCATATGGTGATATCAATAGTTTTGCGGATCATAGTTCAATATTCTACTTTATCGACTTCTACTTTGCCGACTCTAAAAATGAATCGACCATATATAAACAAAACTGCCAGAGGTCAGAGCTGTCACATATCATTTTAATGGTTCTGATTTGGGATTCGATCATGAACTGTTGAGGTGTGCTGCTGCCGGAGTCTTCGTTCGATCTCACTGTGCCATGGTTGTTCTCATATATGAGGTGGATTAATAGGATAAAGTCACAACTCTTGTTCTCGATGTTTACCTTTCTGAGCAAGCAATTCACATCGCATTGAAATGCAAAACACTTTAAATCCATCTGTTTTGAACAGAAGTGTGATTCTATGTGCAATACACTTGAATTGATAGTGAAAGATTTTCAACATTTCAAAGTTTGAAACACTAGAAATTAACGTGTATAGCACATTGAACCAAGGTGAAATACACTTAAAGTAAATGTGATTGTACATTTAAAAAATCGAGTGTTTAAACACTTAGATCAAACGTGTGGAATTTTTTGAGTGTACTGAGAGGTAAGCACATATCATCGATGAGAGACGTGTAAGTGTGAGAAAATTTGCGAAAAAATCTAAGGGCACCGGTGGGATTCGAAGGGTACACGACGTTAGGCATACGGACGTTAGGCATAATGTACGATAGGCTTAATGGACGTTGGGCATAAAGGACGTTAGGCATAATGGACGTTAGGCATAATCTACCCGATGAATTCCAGAAGGATGATAATGGGGACCGTCTATTGATTGCTGAGTTCGGTGATAATAATGAAAGAGCCATAATTTTTGGAACTCATGAAAACTTGCGATGTCTTGGACAGGCAAAGTATTGGGTTACGGATGGTACGTTTGCCACAGTCCCTTGTTTGTTTCGGCAACTCGTCACTGTTCATGGAAGTATCGCTCCCTCACATCAGCAGACGGTTCCTCTAATTTTTATTCTGATGGCAACAAAAACAGAATCGTTGTATCGAAAAGAATGGCAGGAAATCCTGGAAGCAGCAGATATGTTTTTTGTTATTGAATGAAAAACCACAGAATTCACCATTCTTCGTTTCATGAGCTGTTCTTTGGCATCATATTTTATTCAACCTTAGCTGTTTTTTTGTTATTGAATGAAAAATCACAGAATTCACTATCCTTTTTTTCATGATCTGTTTTTTGAGGAAAACCTTTTCTTCTTTGACAATTGCAATATGTGTGTAAGAATATATTACAACAAATGTGTGATTTTTTTTATTTCTAGATTATATCAAAACTATGCTGAGTTTTCATTGCCAGATTACTTAACCGCTATCGCTACTAATCTTGGATCTTAGTTAATATGTAGCTACGTCACTTATGATACGATTAATAATGGATTCCAAATTGTGCATATTAAATAAACTATGTTTGTTTAACTTGTATCATATTTTATTCAACGCTTAGCCTAATTTAAGCATTTTTACCATGCTCGAAACAGGTTTCTAGAGTTGCACAGCAGCAAGGTATTTTATGCCTAACGTCCATTATGCCTAACGTATATTATGCCTAACGTCCAATATGCCTAGTGACTTTATGCCTAACGTCCATTATGCCTAACGTCCGTATGCCTAATGTCCGTATGCCTAACGTATTTATGCCTAATGAGGTACACTCGGATTCGAACCCACAATTGCCATTCAGTACACGGGTGCATTGTCAATTATACAAAAGTCAACGGATGTATTTTTTTTATATATTAATTTATTTGTTCAGGCTCAATCGAATAAACTTTACAGAGCCGAGTTATCATTTGCATTATACATGATTAATGTCTTAAATCTAGAGTTAAAGGAATTGAACAGATTACTCGCGGTCGTCTTGAGGTTAATGGAGATTTACAATTTTTTGGATGGGGAAAGGGAGAAGGAGGTTTGAAATATGATTTATTATATAAATATTTAATTAATCCTAAAACATGAACTTATTTCTATTCATCTTGAAAACAAACATAAAAAAAAACTACACGCACAATACACAAACTAAACACAAGGTTAATCAAACTTACAATCTAAGGTTAGTATTCTTAAAGTAAACATATATGAGTTTCATAACCTCCAGATCACGTCTAGCCAAAATATCCCGAACTGGAACATTAGATTGTCTACCTCGAGCCCGAAGGGAATCGCACAGCTCAGATCTGACTCCACGATGCTCAGCACAAGACCAAAGGATGTACGGATGTATTTGACTAATGATATTTGAGTTTCGAATCCGTTTACCACCGTAGTTTTTTTTTCCGCAAGCGTTCTCTAATACACAACAATCGTCTATTATCAACGATATGTACATGCATCTGCGTGCTGAAGTATTGTACAAACGTAATCTACTCTGCTTACGCTCACTAGGCCTGTAGTACTCATAGTCCACAGACACAGTGAATCATATTTCGTGTACTTAGTTATGATATTAAATATAGAGTTTTATACAATTATGGCGTCCAAAACTTCTTCTTATCCTGCCATTAAAATTTAACCAGATGATTTAGTACATTACCTTCAATGTAATTTAAAAAGATAGAAAAACAGCATTTTTATGAAGAGCTTTGAGTGTGTTGGTTTATTTCCTTTAAATTCCGTTATAATTGCTTATCTTTTGACAGATACGCGTATTTCGTCTGATTCTTATTCACATCGCACGAATGCACCCGAATACAATACGTGTCCAATGCACTTCACTTCATTGACAGTTAGCCCCCTTTTGAAAAAAATGGGTTTTGGTCAGCTATATTTGAGGAAAAAAAAAAGATCAAACTGTTTGCAAACTTTGAACAAACAACATTGCAATAAACGCAGTGGACGACATAGCTTGATCAGAGGTCTCGATGAACATTTCAAACGGTCTTATCTGCTTTCATCGATTCTCTTTTGATAACCACTGCAGATCTCGCTCTATTTTTACCACGTAGGGGAAATGGCTCTAATGTTGGCCTATGGATCTAAGATTGGGTTCGTCACTAAAAACCTGCTATTTAACAATTTTATCTAGA